AAAACAAAAGAAATTTAAGCAGATTTATTTACACACTTCTCTAGCCCCTGCTCTTGTGGTTTTCTGTCTCACTGATTCTATAAATATACAAGAGATAGGCTTCTATAAATATACAAGAGATATCTCTCTTATTTGATAACAAAATAGGTACAATGGCGCAGAGTCATTACCATTCTAGACTGTGGGATGTTATGCCTTCATGGACACCAGGCTGTAGCACTAGGATAACGAGTACTCCCAGCCTCTGGACTTCTACAAACAGGGAGGGATTCAGGAGATAGGGATAGGGAGTAAGCAGGAGAAAAAAGATACTGTACTCTGGTCTTTCAGATGCTGTAGTTTCCCATATTAATGTTGATTCCTACTTGATAAACTTTGTTTGATATTTTTTTTTATGCCCAGCAATTATGAGCTATTTGAGAAACCTAGCAGAAATCTTTGTATCTTCCTTGGCAGGAAGGTCTCTAACAGATTTTTCTGACCCTCCCTGCATCATCTAACAGAAAGACAGGGTTACAGTGTAGAATGGCACTTTCCATAGTGTCTTTCTTGTCCTAGAATCTCAAATTATTTTATTAACACTAGCAGAAAGTTGCCTGAGATTTATGAAAATATTATGCCTGTTTTACTGATGACAAAACTTTGGTAAAAACACAGCTTGCTTAAGGCCAGTAAATAGCTTTGGACTGGGATTAGAAACTATTAGAAACTATTCAAATGGAGCTCAGGGTTCATGAACTCTTGCCTGTGATGATAAAAGTTGCATTAAGAAGTACCAAACCTACTTGAGTAGCTGGGAAAGCCCTTTTCTTTTTCTGAGCCCATTATGAACATCTTCCTTCTTCTTCAAACTTCTCATCAGCAAGAGAGGTTTCTAACAGTGATTAGGTTTGGGAAATCACCTGGTGGTGAATCATTAGAGAATATCCTTCAGAGGTTACTTTAACTTCATTCTACCAGCAGATCTTTCACTGAGTTGTTACGCCTATCCCTGGGAATTCTGCAGGGGCAGTCATGACTGCTGTCGTTGAACCAACATGGCAAGACAAGCATTGCTTTTGTGGTGACTCTTGAGGTTGTCTGTGTACTGTGAAATGGAACAGGGTACAAGAGATAACCCACGTAAGTGCTGTCTGACTCCGGCCAAGGTCCTGCTAGCTGGGCAGCTGCATCAGCCCACACCCTGCCTCAGCTAACGAGCCTCCCTGGGAATTGTGTGAGCATGCTCAGGGCCAGCCTGGGGTCTCTGACAGGATGCCAGATTGTGCTGTAAAGAAGTGCCTCTAGTCCTTCACCTTAGCCACTAGACAACACAGGTTCAGAAGGTATGTGCAGGTGTGTTTGACTCGGTAGGGGCTTAGCAGCTTAGGACTTATTGCTGCCTTCTTTTATACTGAGCATTTTACGTATGACACTTACTGCCATTGCAGGAGATGGCGAGACACTTGCAGTAATGCCAACATCAAATAGAAATAACCAAACAACAGGTGGTAGAGTCCCTGGACTTCTCCAAAAAACATAATATGAGTGCATAAAATTTGTTTTGGTGTCTTTGAGGAGCTGAAGTAGATCTGCCATATATTTTCAGCTTCTTTCTGCAGTTATAAAGGTTAGAGACTCACTTTTATACATCTGAAAGATGAGATGCCTGTGCAGCTGCTTGATTCTGGGGGCTGCAGACTTTGAAAAAGGATGAAAGGTTTGATATTACAAATTACAGCAACTGGTGATCTGCACTTCGTTTTACTCTCAGTTTGGTATTTTTACATAAAATGTTGCTGCTGCATGACTGGGATGTGATAGGTTGCAAACAAAACTTCTTGAACAGCTGAGAATAAAAAATAAAGTAGCTGTCGGTGTGAAATGAAGCAAGTTTACACCATGTCTGTACATGCACATACCACACTTTTCACCAGAAATACTGATTCTTGGGGCTGTATTTAGACAGGCAGCTATGTTTATAGTCGATTCTTTCCTGAAAATTACCAGCTATGTTCTGCTAGATTTAACTGGCTCTGGAGAAATTAAAGGAATACTGTAACAAAATTGCCAGACTGAGCAACTCCAGTGCTGAATAGGAAAATCAAGGCATTATGACAGTGGAAGCACGTTTTGAAACTCAGTGCTTACCTTTAAATGCAGTCCTTAAATTAAGTTTACTTGGTCTTTTTTTAAACTGTTGGGCTTCCCATAGGGGACCGGGATTTGGGTCTTCCTGTTTGAATGGTTGGAAGTATGTCTGTTTTCCTCCCCTTTCACCCTCCTCTGAACTCCGGATACCGTTTAAATTTGCTTTGCTGGAAAAAATTCCCCTCTTCTGGACCCCTTTTCTTGTGTGGATTCAGTTAGTCTACAAGCTGAACAATGGTAGTGATGGTAGAGAAATTTATTCTGCTTTCAGCTATAAAATTTATTTGGACTGAGGAAGAAAACCTATTGTCAGTTATTCAAGAATAAGTGCAGAATGCTAGCTTTGCAAACTTTGCTTCCCTCTTAACCATACAATGGCTTTTAGCACAGAAATGGAGGTTGCAAGTTGTGTACCTTAAGTTCTGGAAACCAGATTTTGTTCAGACAAGCACTTGAAATTTGAGAAGCTCTCCTGAAATTTATCCAAACCTCTCAATTCCTCAAAATTGTTCTCACAGTATTGCTATTGCAGGCTCTGCTTGCTAGGCTTTTTTGGCATTTTTTTCTTCTACTTAAGGTGGAAGTTCAGTCTTTTACATGGTATTTTCTCATGTCTGCTTATGATTCTAAAGATGAATAAAAGGAAGCTAAGAAAGCTTGCCAGAATTGTAAGAAGTTGGGGTCTCAATACTTTTCCACTCAAATATTTTTCCTAACCTCTCCTCCCTTCCTCTATAACATTCTGGCAATGCTTTCATCCTCTGGTGTTGTGCAGCTAGATGTAATATAGTAATGTAAAAATCTAGTTGATTTGAACTAGTTTGATGACTATGACAGCTGCTTCTTCACCTTTTTCTTCTCTCCTGTACCATATTCCTCTAAGGAAAATGCTGCTCTGAAATGTTATTAAGCATGATGACATGTTATGAACCCAGGCCACTGCGTCCAGACATCTGGTCGCATATGGCCATGATGAATATTTTCTGTGTATGCAATTATGTTTCATACCTCAAGGAAGATGAAGTATGAAACTTTTTCTTCAAGGAAGAAAAAGTATATAGTAAATAATTGGAGTAAGATAGCAAAACAGTGGGCAATAGCTTTTTTTTAATGTCTTCTTTTCCTAGTTCCCACTGTATTGTAGGACAACGGATGTTACATGCATACCAGCATCTGTCAAGTCCTTTGTCAGCAGAACACAATACAATAGGCTCACACATGCAGGCTGTGTCAGGTCAGATGGAGATGACTCATTTTTCTTTAAACAAAAAGTCTCTTACTTCCCAGTAAAGGTGCAAGAGGGATTTTTTGCCTGAATAAAAAAAATAAGAGAAGATTGAAAGTACCCTGTTTTTAAGCCTCCTGTTCCTCCCCCATACACAAATCTTCTGGGATTTCTAACATCCTTAGCTTTACAGTTTACATAACGTGAGCCAGTTAGCCTGCTGGAGTCAGTCTCCATTGACCATGAACAGATGGGAATGAGGCAAATGTCAAGCTTGCTATGATTCCCCAAACCCTCAGCTGATGTCTTGTCGGCATGGCTGGGTTTAGAGCAACCTCAATGCTCTGTCGGCTGCTAATGCCTCCCAAGGAGTCATCAGCCTGATTGAGCTGCTCTCCCCTTCCTGCAACAGCGCCTAGACAGAAGCTTTGATGGGAGGTAGTATTACAGTTGGCTGCCACAAGAGTAGATTGGGCCCTGGATTTGGGATTATGCCCTTCACTTCCTTGTTTAGAAACAAGTGTTTGGTGAGTGCTGCCTAAATAGACAGTGATCCTCCACAGGTATGACAGTGCTGATATGATAGAGGAAGGGCATCCTGAATATTGTTATTTTAGAGTTTGGACAAAGTACTAATTTCAAGTTCTTTTGGAATGAGTAAGAGATCATAGATATGGTTTTGCTAAGAAATATAGCTGGGTATCATTTCAGAACTGTCATCAGAAGAGGTTTTTCTCTATTAATTAGCTACACAAGTTTCACCATGTTTCCTGCACAAAGCATAACTCAGAAGTAGGAGTGACAGAGACCTGGAATCATTTCAGTGGCAACAGAATTCAGGAAGTGGAAAGAAAAAAAAAAAAACAAAAACGAAAAAGAAATTTCACCTTTGAATCCTGAATTTTCCCTGCAGCAGAGTGCCATCCACATCTTTCCTTTTCATTAAATATGTGAAACCTAAGTGGAACCTGTTTGTTTTTTATAGACCTCTGAAGCCATAATAGGCATTTATATAAAATTTTGGAAAAGTTCCAGGGTTGTTACTGACACTGCACTGTGTGATGATTTCATACTGTTAATATCTCTTTTAAGCTCAATTATAATGCGATCATTTCACCTGATATTTAGAATAAGAATTATGATATAAATTATAGTCATTTCGTGTGATATTTAGAATAAGAATTGTGATATTTTCTATATTCTTCAAGCTTCACCTATAACGACAAAAAAATCTTAGCTTTTACTTTTATTTTTTAGAAGAATAGTTTGTTCTCACTGAAAAAAGTTTGACATGAGACAAAAAAAAATGAAGTAAATGAGGCAAATAAGGCTCCTACTCTGTCTGAATCTCAGTCTATTACTTTTTAAGAAATCACACAATTCAAAACTTGCAAAGGACACAGCACAAGGCAAGGCAAGATACAGATGAGGTGCTAAACTGCTGCTGGTCCTCTGCAGACTTGCATCAGTTTATGATCAATCCTGACTGCATCAACATGTAGACATGATCCCATCCAGGCCCTGCTGTTGGTGGGGTGGCTTTTTTTGTGCATATCCTGTGCCTGATAATTGAACTATTCCTAACGTGTATTTTCCTAGCATATTTTAACATGCCTACAGTCTTATTTACTATTTGTTGTGCTAGGTGATGCTGTTATGACGCCAAGGAACTATCAGTCTCCCTGAGGAACAGTTTTTTCATAGCCTCTTGATTTGACTCTAAAGCAGAAAAGCTCCACCTAAAGCCAAAGGTTTTTTGAATCAATTTAATGAAAAAACCCAAAGTATACGTGCTCGTACCAGTAACTGCTTTTTTGGTCAGCAGTATTGACCAGAAGACCTGCAGCAACAGAGGACCTTCTTTCCAGTTGAAATGACTGTCTCAGCAGCCAGCCAGGAAATTTGTTTCTGGATGGATTCAATTACACATTCCTTAAGGTTAACCACAGACAGCATGTTTACCTAACTGCACAATCTATGAGGTCTGTAATCTGGAAGCAAATGGAGCATTTACAGTGCTCCAGGAAGATGACATGGAGGCCAGGGAAACCCACTGTGATTTTGGTTTCCAGGCAAGATGTGAGATCCTATTTCTTTGTTGATATGAATGATACTTCTGTGCGCAAGAACAATTGTACCTGAACTTTAGCTGATGCTCTCCTGCAACACGCGTGGACATGAAGAAGTAAAAGAGGTGCTTTGAATGGTGCTCACTGTCATTACATTTAAAAAGACATGCCACTTGCAGCTTGTGTCAATGTAAGTGATACTCCATCAACACACTTTACCAATCTGAATGGATAATCACTGAAGCGCTTGGAGGACACATGCAGATCTGTCTGGAAATTACCATCACTACTGCCTTGTGCTCATGTGTTTGTACTCATAACTTGTTTTCAGGATGCACTCTGGATTTATGGTTGCAGCATATATTCCCTTTGCTTGAGGACAGAGTTCAGATATAGTGCTTGCTAAAGTAGATGAGCAAGTTTGGAGCTAGATACCTATTTAGCAGTTCTTTCTGGCATATCACTGAGACTGTTTAACTATTTTTAAAACTCTTTGCTAACCGTGATAAGCAAGTGCTCTGTCCTGAACTCCTGTAGAGTACTGATGCTTGCTCTACCTAGCAATATATTTTGACAAAATGACAATTTAAGAGAGTGCTGCTTGTAATTCAAGGAAAATTCCAATTTCATTGCTGCAATCTAGGTTCTGCCTTTCTCAAGTCCCATATGTTTGCCATGCCTCTTTTCGTCATGTCGTGATCCAACTTTCTGTTCACTGTATTAGTCTTGAACAGTTTTTAACTTTCAATATTAGTGGAGCTACTCGTGGAGAAAAATGCTATCTATCATGTCAAAGAGGAGCAGAATCTGGACTTTTGACTGAAAAGTCCTCTCTGCTTTTATTTCTCTATAGTGATTCTTAGAAATCCAATGCAGCGGACTAAATTAAACTATCCAGAATAAATTATACGAAGGTCAATTTTTGGCAAGAAGCAATGTGTTTGAAATGCTAATTCTATTTCTATGCATAATTGCACAAAATATTTCAGAAGTGAGATGTTTAAAAAAATTCATGCAACCTTTCCCTTGGAAATGTATGTCAGTGGCTGAGATGGTTACCCAAAACAGAAGAAAGATGTTCTTTATCATGCTGGAAAACAAACGGATTTCTTCTGAGGGACACAGATGGTGTATGTATTGAGACACAGCATGTCATACTGCCTCTCCTGTTATTCTGTTCTTGTGGTTTCATCATGGGAAGTAAACCGTTCTATAATTCCTACCTTGTTCTTCACTTCTCATGCTGTGAAAAACCTGCACATGTAAGTAATCTGTTTCTCAAAGACACTGTGTTTTAGATATCGACGTATGTGTGTCAGGGTTGATGTCTCACTTTAACTTCCAAGCTTGAGAATGAAGAACTGGGACTTCAGCTGCTTAAAAGTAACAATGAATTAATTTGATGTGCCTAGTTTAGAAACTTGTCCAGATCCACTACTTACACTGAGGCTGGGGCAGGAGGGCAGCTATGAGTCCCATACGCACGTACTTGAAATTGCTGCTTGTAGCAGATGGCTTCTTGACTGACTTCCGCAGAGTCAAAGCAGTATTGGAAGGTGCTCTGGCTCTGGTCTTGCATCCCTGCTAATTTGCATGACGATCCAATCCTATGTAGAACAGAGTAGAAAAGAAGCATTTTCTTTGTTCATACATCAAGTTTTGCAGTGTTCTTTTTCAAGAGCTCTAGTGCCCTTGTGTAATAAAACAAAAGAATATTTAGAATTGGAATTGTTTTAATAGATTAGTAACTTCTGAGTGTCCTGCTGGAAGAAGTGTTTGGTTTAAATGAATCATGACCCAGTAAAAGTTGTGCTTTTTGCAGGTGCAGCAAATTCATATCAAAAGCACTGCATGGTTGTTGATAATAAAGGCCATTCAGTGCATAGTGTCATATCCTAGCAAAAAGTCCCCAAATAGTGCATTATTTATGCTCTACAATCAATATAGTGTTTATACTAGAGACAAAGTTTCAGTGTATCCTGGTGCTCATCCTTGAAATGTTAATGTCCTTATGACATGCTTCTATTTGAAAAGATCCTACGAAGTTTTTCAAACAGCTTGTGAGTCAAGCAATCTATGCTTTGCATTTTCACAATACTTAGTAATTTAAAGCAGAAATATCATTGTTAGAATCAGGGAGAATATGAATTGTGAAGATGAGTAGATTATTAAGGCAAAAGAAAAGGGTTATATTAATAAGAATATAGAGGATGAAATGAATAGTTTCTTGGTACGAATTAAACTATGCAGTATGTTAACCACTCTTTTTCATGTTATGTATGTTTATTGTATGTGCTTGAATCCTTAATAAATCTCTGGAAGGGACTCTAGCTGAGGACTTACATGATGAAGAAATCTAGAAAAGGAAAGAAGAAAAAGAGTAAGTGCTGTCTAAAGGAATTGTCAATAATTATGTCTTAATCTACTGGGATAAATTATCCTTTAGCTGCCTTTGTCTTAACATCCATAGAGAAATTAACATACATTTCACCCAGAAGAATGCTAACTTTTTGTCATATGATCAAGAGTAGAAAGAAGGACATGGATAATAGTAATGACTGAAAGCTTTCAGGCAGAGAAAGCTACTTACTCAACAGCATCTAATGCAGCCTTCAAGATAATTGTGTCACACACAATAAACAGTGAGGAAACAAGAGACTGTCCTCTCCCAAAACTCAGTATGGTGTGAGTTAAGTATGATTTACTTACTTATTTGAATGATTTCAGTGGAAGTATCTTGATCCATTGTAAAACGAAAGAAGAGCCAGTCCCATGATTTACTGCCTTTCTTGCTCTTGTTTCTCCCTGTGTCTACACAGCTCCAGTAGAATTTTGGGCTCCATCCTGGATTCTGTGATAACTCCTTGTGCAAGTCTAAGATGGTAAAGGGCTCTAGGACAGTAAAAGAAGAGTTACTGGCAGAGGAGAACAAGAGCCAGGACTCTCAAAGGAAGCCCTCTCTAAAAATCCCATCAGCAGGATTAAAGTAGCATACTGGAAGTTGGCTGTGGAGCAGGCAAAGCAGCACAAGCATGGCTGGAAGAAGGGCTTGGATCCAGGCTTGGAGGCAGTGTACAGGGGCTAACAATAGAGTACAAGGTTGGGTAGCCCTTGAACAGGAAGTTTTATGATGTGGTTCAATGAAGCAGAGAAAAAGACTGGGTAGAACAATCTTCAACCTGGTAAGTAATCACCACAGAGGAAGCTGTGATGTGACATTGTTATGCCTAACACTATACCTGCTGAAACCAGGTTCATCCTCCCGACTGATGAAAACCTGCATACTCAGAAAACTGGGAGCTGCTGGGTTCATGGTTTTCTCTGTCAAAAAAAATAATGCTGCTTATTTGTGGCACTTCAAATAAGATAGTGTTGTTGTTATTCAACACTTACTACTTCTCAAACCTTCCACAGGTTTAATAAATGGAAGCAGGTACCACCTGCTGTGAACAGCCAGTATAAAATTTATAACTGCAGACTCCATGGGGAAGCATATACCTACTCATTTTATAGGGATGTATGCAAAGTGATTTCATCATGTGCTGCAAAGGAAACCACTGAAACGAACCAGCTTTTATCAAAGATTTTGCATCTGCAAAGTAAAAGGCATCATCTGAGGACTCTCACCATAAGTTCAGGAGCTGCATTTGTACTCAGGCTCTTGCCTTTCATCCTTGCCCGGGCTATGTTGTCAAAGATTTGTTCAAAGTATTCATATTTAACTTATGTCAACTTTCATGGATCTCTGATTAACAAGCTTTATAAAAAGTTCCCTCTTACCTTTTTTTTTCTGGTTAAGGGAATTTTGCCAAAACCTTTATGATATTATTTAAAAAATAATAACAGAAACTACAGAAAATATATATGTGCAAGAGAACTATTTTTACCTTTCCTGGGGGTAAGATATCTTAAGTTTTATAGGTGAGGACAGTATAATGCTAGTGAGGATTTAAGATTTATGAAGGATCACATCGTAGCAGAAGTGAGTGCATCTGAATTATGCCTGAAGGGTTTGATCTAGTGCACATTTATGTCAAGAATGTGCTTACTGTGTGTGCAATATAGAGTTGATGGGGCACTTTCACTCTTAGAATGTGTAGATGTACCTGTAGGTGTCCCTTCAAACTGGTGCAAGGTACTATTGACTTAAGATGACATGCGGGCTGTAAAAGGCTCATCTGTCCCATTTATCTCTCAGTATCTGAACTTTGCAGAATAATGGATGCTACAGCTATTTTTTCTTGCATGGGTGTTTTTTAGTTGTTTACTAGCAAGCGAAACCTTTAATGTACATATACCTTTCTATTCAATCACATTAATATATGCTCTGTTTATGAGCATGAAGGGTATCGCGTAGACTGGCTGAAACCAGAACATCAACGCTAAGGTCTTTTTGTCCTTGAACTTTGTACTTAACTTGTCCTATTGTGCTTTTATTTGCCCTCCGTAAGTTTGATTTGAGAGATGGAGCTCTAGCCTTAAATTTGGATGTCCTATACTTTCCCAGTGCAAGCTAGTTCTTGAGACTTTAAAAAAAATATTGGATTTCCCACCGCCAACCCTTTGTATTTAAGGTCGTTTTTAATTGAACTGTCTTGTTAACTTTGGGGGACATCATTGGAGCTGAAAGCTATTCAAGAAATAATAGCTCGACAAGTTGCTCCCCCGTGGACAGCCCTTCAGAGTCTGTCTGGAAAAGCTCATATTCAAAGCAAAGAAACTGAGTGGTTCCTTGTCTTTGAGTTCATTTGGAATTTTCTTTTTAGCGACAGTTTTAGCAAAGGGAGTTGCAAACAATTGACAAAATAGAGTCAAAACAGGGGTCACTGCCACACTAATTAAAACAGAACTCATTTGATTAAAATGGGTTTCCTTCTCCAAAAAGGGAAGATCTAATGCAAGGCCTCTTCCTCCCAGCACCCTTTAATCTTCAGGGGATTACATTTTTAAATATGATGAAAAATAATGCCACTTTGTTTATTATACTCTGCTTGCCAAACTTGAGTCCTGTAGAACCTGCCAAATGTTAACTTTAAATTTAGTAAGCTGAACCACTTTCCAAGTGTTGTCATACTCTCAGAGGGGAGCATGGCCTGTGAGTTGTCCTGCATGGGAGATATTAGCAATCTGCTACTACAGGTTCTCAGAAATAAGGAATATATGATGAAACTGGAGTATTATGTCACTACTTTTTTGAAAGAAAACATGTTCCCATTTCACTTATAAAGTATTTTAAAGGAAGAATAAGATCACTGCAGTCTTTTTATTTTCCTTTTTTTACCCTCTTCCCTTCTTAACGACATGAAAGGAACAGATATATAGCGCAGTTATAATTCAGGAAAGTATATCAAACAAATCAGAAATGTATAAACTTGCCTGTGGAACGTCTCCTTCCATCTTAATAGCATATAGTATTACAAAGTGCAAAAGAGATTATCCAGTTTTTCTCTCCCTGTCTTTCTCTGCTGTGATTTACTAGTGTCCATGTTTACATCTAATTAATGAACACTCCTTCTGCTATGGGTTATTTTAATAGAGCACATTTTGTTATTTTATGTGATTTATTTTTAAAGATTTATTATTTTAGCCCTGCTTCTGGTGACTGGGGAGAAGCAAAACTCAGCACAAAGAAAGCAAATAGAGCCAGGGGCAATAGTAATGAAGAGAAACCTTAGCACAAGCTTTATTCTTGAATATGAACAAAAACTTCACCTGCATAATAGTAAAAAGCCCATGCTTGTAACAAATTCAGACAAACCCTTTTCAGTTTAAATGTTCCTTGACAAGCCTGGGTGAGAGAGGAGGTTAGATTTGAGACCTGCACTCAAAAACAGATTGCTCCCTAGTGCTGTTCAAATACAACAGGAACTAGATCCAACACCAATCACTTTTGGCAGACTAGTCTCTTGTAGGGTATTTGGAATGACAGATGACAATGAATGAAAGGCCAGCACCCGTGCCATTTACTTGCCATGGCTAGATATATTGAAAACCAAGATGGCATACTGCTTTACAGTAAGCATGAGGAAGCATACATATTTTTTTCCTGGAAGGCTGAGCGACTCGGTACTTTGATGTGACTGCAGTACCCACAAGCATTTTCAGGGCCCAGTCTGACTACAGGCTGTGTCAACAAAGTCATCTCTGTGGCCTTATATAGTGACTTCATTAGTACACAATAGCACGGGAAGGTGAAGCACAGGAGAGGCTCTGAGAGACAGACTGATTTCATACTTGGTTTTGATTAAAACATTCCTTTATCCTAGATCAATCTTTTGTGAAACTCATTCTAAAAGCACAAGCAGGTGTATGTAGCCCACTCAGTGAGAAATTATCACAATAATAATAAATAAGCAGTAGAAATTAAAGCTTGTCTGCTCCCCAGAGAAGCAGAAAGGAAATTCTGCTTCTCAGTAAAACTTCTGTGTGTGTGTGTATCGGCTTATACTTTCCATACACTGGTGTCTGGACTGGGAAGAAATGGCTTTTTTTTGGTAGATATCTCAATAGATAGGCAATGTATGACATTGGTCTACGGGGATTGTGGAAAATTGACCATTCAGTGATACCAATAACACTGCAAAGTTTAACTTCGGAAAAACTTACATCTTACATATGTCAGCTTTTGTCAAATAATTGCTGAGTGGGATGGTGGTCAAAAATCACTAACAATAAAAAACCTTAGGTATATACTTTGACCTGATACTTAGGGAGATATTTAAGTGTTTAGTATTTGTATTCTAATACCGGATAAAAGATCTGCACAGTGTCTTTTCATTACTTCGTTTGGTGAGGAGATACACTTTGAAAATGACAGATTTGGTGTGCCTTAGCAAGTATTTTTGGTGACAGAATGGTGAACAACAGAGAACAATGATGTATTTATATTTCATGGAAAAAGGTATTTTTTTCTGGGAAAAGCTCATATTCTTGACTTATCTTTATCTTTCAGCCCTAAGCATTGTCTAACCTTGGTAATATGGCAGTTTGCTTATGCCAGTATGCTGTTTATACTGTTAGACTGCTTGCATAAGCTATTGAAGATTTTTGTTTAAGAAAAAGGATTTCTTTCACCTTGACTCAGTACGATTTCAGTATCCTTCACCCAGCTTTCCTATGCTGTCTTCTGAGATGGAAAATGGTTGTTCAAACAAAAATCCAGATACTACTATGCTCTCTAGTTTTCGAGTCCTTTGAGAGGCAGGTCCAAAACCATTGTGTTGACTTCATAGAGATATACATCAGGGCTAGCACATGCTATACCTTATGTTGTCTATTATCCATACAGAGCTTTCCCCTATGGCTGTTTTCAGTCTGAAGGATGAATGTATTCCTAACTTTGCACCATCTTGCCAGCCTATCATTTTCTTTTACTACTTTTTGGTCTACTCCTGTGGCAAATCCACACTGACTGTCATGGATCAGATTCAAAAGCGGAACTTCCAAGCTCTGCAATTCATTTCCTCTCCATTGGCGAGACTGGCAAGCAAAGGAAATGCTAAAATGTAGGATAACATATTTAATGCAGTTTTCAAGAGGAAGTGCAGCTCCTATCTATTTCTATATTCTTTTAAAAGACTTGGGAAGCTTTCTAGGGATTGCCTACAATACTTTTTACTGTTTTTCTTGCCAAATGTCAAACAAGCTTCACAGGTTTATCAGCCTTTAACTTATGTTGATCTTTGTTATCTCAATGGTACGGGCAGAGTCAAGTGAGCTTAAGACCAGTTCTAATAAAGTCAAAGGGACTGTTGTGGGGAGAAGCTGTTGCTGTCCAACTAAACAGCCATGTAGTCATACTAGTAGTAGCAATGATGATTGTAATAATAACAGCAGTAATAACATGAACTGCTATATTGTCTGGCAGGCCTGACTAAGAGCAAGACCCTATTTTATTAGGCATCTGAACAGTGAATTTCTTTTCCTGATATCTTTGTAGTCTAACTATGAAAGACAGACTCAGGGTGGAAGACAAAGTCTGTTATGCCCCTCTGGTACAAATGGGATGCAAAGACCTCAAGAAAAACATCCAAGACCACATAGGACTTTTGTGGCATCGGATTGAGAACTTCATTTGAGTCTCCTTAAGCTTGAATCATTCCTTAACTACAAGTATGCTATGTATCCCACTGCAAAAAGTAGCAGAAAGGTAATGCAGGTACATCTTAGCAGAGCACTCTTTTGGGACAGATGGTAAGGAACTCCCTTAAATATTATCTAGAGAGGCTTGTCTCAATAATTGAGCCAATCCATCTCTGTAGACTTGAAAGTACAAAATGAAATAAAAAACAAAGCTTAAGCACTGTGTTCTTCTTAATTTATTCCATTTATTTGACATGAGAAAGAAATTCCTACTTTTTCTCAGCAAATTGGATAAACACTGTTTGTACTTTTGTATACTGGACAAGTATTTTGCTTTTGCACAACTCCTTATGTCAGTATTTGTGCATCTATAGTTACTAGCCATGCTTTAATATATATTTAATATCCTGACTTTTCTCCTAACGTATATAATTTTTGTCCTGAAGAAATTGCTTGGGAATTTGCATATATAAAACAGTGTTTTGTTTTCTTGTTTAATTCTGCATATATTTTTCTTTTTGCCAATCTCTGTAAATGCTTCTCTTGCTGTCTGTACCTGTGTTTTTGCTGAATAAGCACTTAAGGACAAACATGCAGCACTGTCTGCCTATGACTGATAGAAAGTAAAGCTTCCAGGCAATGCAGACATTTCATTGACCTCCAGTGACTGCAGGTGCAGAATTATAGTTCCTGTTTGAGTACACTGTCAGTGTTTATTTAGGTGCAGAGACTTACTTAGGTGCAGATATTCAATGACTGGTGATTTTAGTACACCCAGCTCTAAATCATATTTCTTCCTAGCATAATGTACAAAGAGAAAGAGAAGGAAAGTTTAATGTACTACTATTCTTTATATGTCACTTACGTTCTTCTGACTTGGGATACTGGAAATATTTCGACGAGTTCAGGGTATTACCTTCAAAGATCACTGTAAATCAGTTTCCTTATGGTCTGATTCATCCCAGGAAAGATCAGATAGCCAGATGGGAGTCTGTAGCAGCTTGTTCCTGAGAGTATTATACACGGGCTGCTTTAGAGAGTCCAGTGGGGATTCTGATGCATGGCTGAACTTGGTTGTGAGGGAACCCTCTCTTGATTAAATCCCATATTAGTTAGGAAATATTACACCCAGGTTCTCAGCTAAATCTACAGTCAAATCATTGAGGGGAGACAAAGAGTGAAGGAGAATATTGCTCAGCAAGGGAAAGCAATAAGCAGGGGAACAACACATTCATAAACCTGACATTCTACTTTTGAGGAAATACGAAAACACAAATATGCTTTGTGAGTGTAATTGCAGTTGTATTTAATTCCAGTGCACTGGAAGTTTCTGTCCTTCCCTTGGATGAATAAATTCATCTGTTTTCCAGTTAAATGAAGATTGTGAAGATACATCTTTTAGGAAGAAGTTAATGTTCTGCATAATCATCTATCCTCAGCCCAAGCATGTGACCTATTGCAATTAAGCAAGGACTTCTAGGGAAGTCTAATGGTATGCGTTGGGCTGGATGTCAGCCTGGATGAACACAATGACCTTACAGCCTATGGACTCATTGCTGAATAAGGATGTGGCTGTTAAACAAGTTGATTCCCTGGCTCCACATCAGTCTGTACAGAAGTGTAATTGAATGTAATTGAAAACAATTGAATGCTGGATGAAACAAAAATTTAACATTTTCCACTTTTGTGGATGGAGTGCTGTCACTATAATAGAGACCAACATTTCCTCTGTCTCACAGCAGGCCAGCAGGATTTCGATCTGTGCTCTTTCATGTCACAAATAATAAATGGTTAGAAAGGTAGAATGATGTCTCTTCTTTACGAGAAGAGCTGTATAAGGGTGCTATACGTGGTAAAATAAAGATACACATTGATATTTGTACAACACAGACAGATGCTGAAAGTAAGAGATGGCTTTTTTCCAGGTAGGCAGTGGCATCTGCAGTGGTCAGCAAACATGTTGACATTCCCACAATACCTTACATGTTAAAGAGAACCTAGGGTTAGTTTTTTCCCCAATTCGTTTAGCAGGACTGAATTTCTAGCATTAGAAATCCACGTCTTGTCTGCAGAAATATGAAGTGGCTGTGTTCCCCAAAGCACAAACACCTCTCATTTGAAGAGCATGCAGTTTTGAGCACCTGATGAGTGTAGTGGCACGTTGGAAACATCCTGTATACAGATAATCTCCAGAGATGAACACATGTCTTTCTATTCCTTTGATTATTAAAGCATCGGTATATTTCTTTTACTTAAAAGAAAACAAACCTCTTATTTACCAACAGGAAGCTTATTCCCAAAGACAGCTGAACAGTGGGAGAAACTAGAACAGGCAGAAAGAAAGTTTAAGAAGCTTAAGAAAAAGCTTACTTGAGCAATGAGTTCCTGTGGATTTGTTTTAGATTGTTTGGAGTTATGTTTTTGCAATAACTTAATTCATACCTTTTCTTCTATTTTCTAAATTTCTGGAAATCACACAACTTGTTAGCATTTTATCTGTACCTTATGGAAGAAAAGTGTCTTCCTCAACTTACTATATTTTTTATTACAGGACAGTATCTATTTTCTGGTGCACTAATAACAGATTTCCTACTTCTGAATTTTGAAATATCTGTCCTATGTAAATATCTCATAGGACATTAGAATTCCAATCTGTAATGCACTGTGCAGACACTTAAGCATGAATCATTGTCCTGAAGTCTAAATAAACAAAAGACTAAATTTATGGTCTAAATTAAAGGGAAAATAAATAACATCTGACAAAGAATTCTTCCTATGTTGCAGATGGGAAATGGAGTCAATGCAAGATTAAGTGATTTGACGTCACCAGGGTCATCCAGGCAACCTGTGGCAGCTATTGGCATTGAATTGCTGCCTCCTGACTGCCAAGCTTAATGGCAGAACCATTTTTCTTTCCATGATACCTTCGCTCTTCTTACTCTTTCACATTTTGATCTGGTAAGTGGATGTCACAGGGTGGCAGAATGCCTGCTTTATCAAGCACTTTTCATGAAGAACATGTGTCGAAGCTAGAGTACTTCCTGTCCTTTCCCCTTCAATGAAGCCTCATCTACCTACCTCCCACACAGCTGTTCTAGAAGACACAGTTTAGCACCAAATGGCCCCCTCATTTCCTCACCCCACCATTTTGCTAGACACATAAGTTTTCCTTTCTATGGTAGCAGCACTAACGTTCACACTATATCCATTGCTAGGCAGATGTTAGGATTTTAAGGAAGAGTTCCTCTGCACAACAATTAACTTTCTAGTTTGCCTTTATAAAGCACAGAGAACAGGTCACCTCCATGACAGTACTTAATTGGTACACAGAATAATCTTTGGCTATTTTCTCAAGAAGCAGAAGGAAGTGGTAAATCCTGCTGGAGACCAAAAAAAGCTAGGCTGTGTTTGATGTGTTTCAGGCAGTTACTTTCTTATGAAATGTGATCACCTCCCTGTTGTAAAAAAAGGCATACCTGATGGAGCCCTACATCCTAGTCTGCCAAACCCTAGGCTGTTCAATGCGTTGTCAAATGAATCATGCCTGCAAGTTAATAGAAATAATCTCTGCTGTAAGCACAATTGCTCAACACTGTCCCTCCTGAGCTGCAACGTGAAAAGATTTTTCAGGGAGCTATGTCAAAGGTTTAGAGGGCGGAGCCCTGTCACTGATGGAAATATTATACTTCAACTCTATAAGGAGGTTACAGGAAGATGGGAAAGAGGAATGCAACACTAAACAATGTTATCATCAGCACACTGAAGGAATGCTTTCACTTCCTATAATGTTACAGAGGGGGGTGACCTCAGCCTGTATGCAGCAGTGTGCAGCCCAGCATTAGCTGAACTTTTTTGACCTTTTGCCTGCAGTAAAATCGTGTCCTTCACTGCAGCTGAGAAAGATGGACGTTCTTTTCCCATCTGCCTAGTCTGTCTGGAAGAGTTTATGCTGTTATGCTATGCAGGCTATTTATACTCTTATGCTATTTAGTCTATACTAAAAGTGTCCAAATAAATCCAACGAGCAAGAGGGAAGAAGGTAACTTTGTTTTTGATGCAGACCCCCTTTCTGTCACTGTGCGTGTAACTGTCCTGTACACGACGTGATCAAAGCACAGCCCATGTGAATGCACAGAGGATGCAATAGGCATCCTCCCTGTCCTTGCGAGGAATCGGGTTCCCAGGGAGCGCTGGTATCAGTCTGGACAGTTTGATGTAATCCTACCAATGTAGCTGAAGCTATCTGGGCTCAAGGATTTATTAGTTGTGAACGTTCATTTTTGTTTTTACTGGGTTAGTGCCAGTAAATAAGTCACCAAAACCACTAGCTGAGTGTCATTTGATAGGAAAGGGCTGGGATCACAAGTAAGCCTTCTGTCTTTTAACAAAAAAAAAAAAAAAAAAAA